TCTAAATTTAATCAGGGCAAGGACCCCGGTTTCTTTCTAGTTAATTTGTTTAATGATAATAATGAAGTTGAAATGGATGGAGACTCAAAAAAGTTTTTAGTAGAAACACAAATAGGCTACCTAAAAATAACTGTTGTTGAAATAAAAGAAGTAGAACTAGGCAAGATGAAGTTATTCGTCGCCAATATTTATTTACAGGGAATAGATCATAATTCTAATATGAACTTTTAAAAATATGTTAGAAATTTTAAAGTCTGTCTTTTATTTGTTTTATATACAACCAATGTGGTTAAACTTGTAAATTTAAGGCCGCCATGTTTTATAAAATGCCATTGCGTAAGTAACCTTATGCCAGATCAATATATTCATCAAACATATTGTCAACTGTATATCTATGACCCACTAACCGGAGGAAATTTTAGAATGCAACAACGTGGCAATCAACTTTGCTTACATGATTTAATATTTCATTTGCAAACTAAATTAAGTGAAGTCGCAGTTGTATTTGTAAGACAAGATGGTGCTCCACCTGCTTCCGGGTAAGTTATTTATCCAAGATGTCATCTAAAAGTTATATTGAGTATGTCAGCCATCTTAGATTCTATGGTTAATTTATTCAAAATTCCAAGAGGCGATGCACGTTGGCATAATAAATTAGTGCACAACTCTGAACATGCAATACTGGTTAGAAATCATGTTAAATTTTCTCAGCTTCACAAAGAGAGACTTTCAGTAGAACAAAACTTCTTTCGTATAATATAGATATTTTACAGCAAGAAATAATTTCAGCTAAACACTGCAGATGCATTTTTTAAATTTAAATGACAGTGGGGCTTTGTTAAATTTAAAGAACCTCAAAAATAAAGAAAATTAACTGAAAAATAAGCAGCATGGTGAGCATGTAAACAACCTTTAAAACAATCATAATGTTAGACTAGGGCGCTTAGGTTTAGGCGCTTAGAGCGCTTTATAGTTTTGCCATCAACTTATGTATGTATTTATAGATTTGCCATCAACTTAAAATTGCAGGCAAAAGTAATAAAAAGATCTTTTTATTAATTTTATCTGCAACTTTTTGCAAGTTTCTATATTGCCTGCAATATATGGCAATATAGAGACTAAAACTATGAATCTTACTATAATTATTTTCAAAAGGTTTCAGAGTCACCTGCTCGTTCGTGCCTATTTATTCGTGATTTATGAATCCCAGTTGTACTTGATGATTTTTAAAATAAAACTTAAATTTTTTTGAAAATATCAACTAATAATTGCCAAAAGACATGGTCATATGAGTGACTGGTCATATTAGATTATAACGATCAAAGTTTGATCCACTCAATAATATAGTTAATACTGTGTAGAGCTAGGCGTTAAACTATCTAAATATGACTTGCAGTAGGTTGTTATAATAACCGACTAATTACATTTTTTCTATTCCTTATTTTCTAAAATTCAGTTAAAAGCAAGTAAAATAGTGCTTTGGTAATATTTTTTTTTTTTAATTTTTTTTTATTTCTAGGTATTGACAACCTGTACTTGGTTTTTTTTTTTCTGGTGCCTGCTGTTATAACTAATGTTAAAAAGTACCTAAAAACTGGTCTTATGTTAAATAACGTTAATTAAAAGATAAGACATAACTAAAAGCAAGAAGAACTAAAAAGAAATAAAAATTTAGACAAACTTGTATTTTTTAAATATAATATTTCAAGTTAATTTATTTGTAATGTTTTATTTGCTAATAACTCGTATTACGGGTTGCCTACTGCTGTTTTTTTATTCAATTTTTTAGTTAGTTTATAATTAATGTAAAAATAAATAATTAATATAAAATTAAATGATAAACGATAAAATAAAATTAATGTAAAAATAAATGATAAACGAGAGCAAAAGACATCTTCAATTTGCAGAGTTAAATTAAACATTTATATATATATATATATATATATATATATATATATATATATATATATATATATATATATATATATATATATATATATATATATATATATATACACGAATGTAAGTGTTTAATGAAGTATTTCATATCTAAGATAACTTGTATTAGTCTCCAACTGATACAATTTATACGCATTGTATTTGTATGGGACTTATACGTAACATTTTACTCTAAATGTATATAAATAACCTAATTGTCCAACTGTGACTGGTTGCATTAAGTTTGCAAATAGTATTGGAGTATAACATTAAAAATTCATGCAAAAATATTGTGGTTTTAATAAATGAACTTAAAACTATTTTTATTATATTATTATTTAATATGTATTATTTTTGCATTTTTGATCATCGCATGCCACAATAATAATACTAATCAATAACGACTAATCAAATATAAAGACTTATTACCTATAACACATGTCACCTATCAAATATGTTACATGTCCCAAATCACAAAAATGTATGTGTTTGACGCATACACATAATATACAGTAGCATATTAAGATTTTATTTTAATTGTAGTTAAATTTTATTCCGTTTACTCTTCAGCTGCCTTCAGCTTCCATTACTTCTTCAGCTGCCTTCAGCTTTCATTATCTCTTCAGCTGCCTTCAGCTTCCATTACTTCTTCAGCTTCTTGTAGTAAAACCTGAGGTCTTCTGGCTTTTACATTTTTTATCTGAGAGGGACAAAAGGAAAAGAACAAAAACAAAACTTATTTAAACTATCTTGCATAATGTGTGATCACGCTTTATTTTTACTTTAAAAACGCAGAAAACGAGCTCCGTAGCATGAAAACAATTCAATCAAGATTATGTTTTTTTATTAGAATGATCTTTAAAAAATAAAAATGTGAAAACCACCTCCAAGGTGCTTTCAACGCATGAAATTTGAATGCAAAATTCTACTTACCTACTTTCTTTCCATTGAAAAACTCACCTCTTACAGGTATGGAGGTTTTCGTTTCTTAACATATTTTTTCCTTTTGTTTTGGAGCTGCAATCTATAATCCTAATCATTTCTTTCGTCTTGAAAACAAAAATAAAAGTTTTTAAACAAATATCTTTTCATTATTGTAAGAAACTGATGAAAAAAAATCTTGCATTTTATCTCAGAAATAAGGTCTTAAAGTTTTTTGAAAAATCTTTAACAGTACGATTAACAAACGCAAGACTAATATCCATTCTCTCATTCTGATCTTGTTACCTTTCCCTACGATAAAATAGAACTGCTTTTAGCAAACTTTTTCTCTGATTCATCTCCTAAATCTAATAACCATTGTTAAATACCCAATTTTTATCTTTATGTATCTCCTAATGTTATGCAGGGGCGCACAGAGACTTTATGATGCCTGGGGTATTTTATAAAAAATTTACTGGTTGACCCCCCCCCCCTCCCTCCTCATCCTCTAACCACCACCAAAACAAAAATAAGAAAAATAAAGCTCTTAATTTTTTTTAGTTTCTTATTTTTCTAGTTCTACTTCATAAAATAATTTTAAAGTTTTTTAAGTTCATAAACCAAACAATTATACAAAACCAAGGAAAAAAACATTTCTGGATTTGGTATAAATATTTTCTGATTTTTTTTCAAGACTTCACGAACTTTTCTAGCAGCAAAGTTAGAAGTTACAACATCGTAATTAACTTTCTTTGCAAGATCTATTTCGATTAAAGGATAAGACAGTCATCAAGTCAATTCTATCCCATATTCTGTTCCTAGAGTGTTCTTGACGAGAGCTAACTTGATAAAAGATCTCTCGCCTTCAGCCACGGATACTAGCAAAGTAAGAAAGATACGAAGACAGATATCTTGGGGAAAATTTCCTTTAAATTTCTTTGCATAAATGCTATTCAGAAGACCTAATGGCCGATCATTTGTCAGTAAATGGCATTGAATAGACAAAAAATGGCGGAACTCATCAATAAACTCGTCTTCACTAAGATTAGGATGCTGATAATTTTTATTTGTCAGTTGATGATGCCCCATAAACGTGATGCCTGGGGGAAACTGACCCGAATCCCCCACCCCCTGTGCACCCCTGATGTTATGTATTTTGCCAATAAGAAAAGTTTACAAAATGTTCTTAAATATAAAAATGTATAACTGGAGCAAAGCAAAAAAAATTTAGTGTTATCACCAAGCCCTTTATTATTAAAATGCTTTATTAAAAGCCCATTATAAATATTTTTAAGATTCTTTCCGCTCAAGAGGTAGTTTAGTTTATAGGCAACTTTAGCATTAAATAAAAATTTTCTTCTTCCACTAGAATGATTGTTAGTAAGAGTTTTACAGTGATATCAAATGAGATCCATTTCATTTTTAACATTTCATTTTAACGACTTAAATAGCTCCATAACGTAGTTGTAACGTAGTCAGTTTAGATTAACTACAATTTTAGAACATCGCCGCTGGACTAAACATATTTCTTGTTTAAATTGTTCTGTTATTTTGCAAGAAAAAAAATTGTATGTAAAATCTGAAACAAGTCATGATATTATCTGATAAGTAAGCTGGATCTCAAAAAAATTATAGAAAAACCATTTATGCGATTGTATTAATTTAATTTTTTTAACCTTACTATTTATTTTTGAAATAAACATTAAAAAATTGCAAGCTAGAGTGAGGTTTTTAATTTATTTTATGTTGATATAATTTTATTATCATGATTAATACCATCATCTGAAAACATAATTTATGCCAAATTATTTAATTATTTAGATCTATGCGGTCATAACTTTTTGTTCATTTAAATGTGTGGAAGTATAAATTTGACCTGTCTTTTTTTATAGTTTAAATTATTAACTTAAAGGTTTGTCGATAACGAAACAAAAATTTAATACACATAAATAACTAACTTCACACTGTTTTTGTGTAAATGGGACTTTAACAACACAAGACTTCCGTAAATACGATGCCATGCAACGCACAACAAATTTAAAGATATACTAATGGGAGATTTCTTCTAACTTTAATTATTAATTTTTAAAAGTTGACAACAACGAAATAAATAAATTGGTATAAATAAGTAATTTTTATTAAGGCTGCGTTTGAATGACACTAAGCAACTCACAACAAGTTCAAATGATATTTAAAGCAAGGTTATTTCTTCCGTTTATTCATTTGCGCTATAAGTTTTAACGCGGAAACTGATTTTAAAAACATTTTCACGATTTCATAAGTTAACAGAACAAGTAAGAACATTTTGATTCATTTACTTAAATAATAAATTTTATTTTATATTTGTATCTATTTAAAATGTTTTTTAATGTGTTTTTTAGTTGAGATTAAACATTGAACTAATTTTTGAATACATTTTTAGTGCATTTAGAGCTTAAAAAAATTTAAAATAAAAAATAGTTATTTTAAAAACTGTAAAAACGTATTGATAAGTTTAATTATTATAACTTTCAGAAAATGTCTGTTCCATCACCATTATCTCACACCCACCGTCAGTTGGAAAAACAAAACATTGCTCAGTTGACAATGAAGTTTAAAGAATATACTGACCAAGTAAGACAGATGAGAGAGCACTGTAAAAAAACTGAAAACAACGTATTTCTTTCACACATTGCAGCATTAGATAATGAGATCAAAGATTTGCAGAGCATCTACGAAAGAGAGCTAGATTCAGTCAGAGGTCAACTTGATGCTTGCATTGCAGAAAGGAATCAGTTACATTTAGATGCAAGCAAATATGGTGCTCTTTCCAAAGAATTCCAGGACAAGTATGTATAAGTATATAAAATAATATAAATCAAATCAAAAAAAAAATCAAAAAAAAGTTCAAATAAAAACAATCTGATCAAAAGCAAGTTTTTTTAAAATTAGTTTGTTTTTTCTACATTTTAAAATATTTTGTTTTATTTAATTTTTTTGAATTAGGTTATACAAGTTATATAAGTTATCATGCCATTGAGCATTTGCCAAAATAAATGAATTTTGTTAAAAAGTTTGTTAAAACAAATAAATTTTGTCAAATATTCATATTTATCTGCTTTTTTAAAATTTATTTTTAATGTTCTTATCAATAGGTATAACGAAGAAAAGACAACACGTACCAAACTCGAAAACGCTTTAGCTGATGCACATCGTGTACTTACCGAAAAAGATGCCCTTCTGCAAGAACTTCATATATCAATTGCCCAACACCAAAATGCACATTTGGACACAGCTAAAGAACGAGACGAACTTCAAAGTCAAAATACATCATTAAAAGTTACTTGTGATAGTGAATCTAAAATGCGTATCGATTTAGAAGCTTATGTTCAAAAGTTGACGGAGCAAATAAACTTCGAGCGTGAAATTCACGAAAAGGTAGCAATTTTAAAAGTCTCTTTTAAAATTAGTTACAAAATATAACTTTATACAACATAATATAAATAAAAAAATAAAATTAACATTTATAATAACATAAATAATGTATTGAATAAAAAATTTGAATATGAAATTGTTTATTAAATTAATCGATAAAAAGGTTTATTTTAAGGGTGTGCTTTTGTTTTAAGGATGTTATTGATCTGAGAAATCGCAATGCCGCTGCTGAGAGAACAATTGAAATTGCAGACCAGAAACTTCGAGAGCACGATCTGGTTGATGAAAAGCTTCAACAACAAATTGAAAATATTCGACGACAAACGACATACGATTTTATTCAGTATCAAGAAGCTTCAGAGAATTCATATCAGTTACAGGTAAAAATGTCATCTCTTTTTTTCAACGCGACTTTAAAATCAAAAAAAAAAAAAAAATCGTTAATATTTTGAAAAAAATTAATATTTAACATTTTAAAAACATTATTTGTTGTTTAGCTACAAGAACACAAAAACCGCATGGCAAAAGAAACTCAAGCTCTTACCCAACAAAAAGAGGAAAACATTCATTTGAAAGCAATTATTGAAGAAATGAATGCTAAGATTTACAAACTGGACGGAAAGGTCATTATTTTTATTTTTATTTATTTTTAAATTGTTTATATAATAAGGCTAATAAAGATGTATTTGTCTTTTTTAACTTCATCATTTTTATTTCATCCATTTTATTTTCTTAATACTTAATTTTACTTTTGTTCTATTTGTTATTTTTATTTCATAAAATTTTATTTTGTTCTGCATAGGTTTCTTCTTATCATGAACAAAATACAATTCTAATTCACACACTTGAAGTTGAACGTCGCGCTGCTGCTGCAACATGTCACGAGCTTGAAAAGAAACTTCAAGAACTCCAAGAACATTACAACACCAAAGTCCGAGAGTTAAACATTGTTAGCAGTGTCAACATTCCAATCGACTTAGAACTTGAATCATTATCGCAATTAATAGAAGCTGAAGCAAAACGATTAGATGTTGCTTTATCCAACCCCTCAAGTGATCTAATTTCTACTGTACGTGGAGAGTTGGTGTCAAACCGAAGTCATTATGTGCATAACGCTAGCCCCCGAAAAGCTTCATCAAACGCTCCTCTTAAAAGGCAAAAGTCACCTGCAGGTAAATGTGACATCAGCTTTTAAAATTTTTACATTAATTAAAATACTTTGTATACTGATACTTGTTTGATTGTTATTATCTATTATTAAATAGTGTAACGATTTGCTACTTTTAAATCAAACACTTTTTTTATTATTATTTTATAGCATTGGTAGATACAACCACGGAGCTCCCTCCACTTATTAATCCTCTGCCTAAATATACAACGAACCTACCATCAATAAACGATATAAAGAGCCGTAACTACCCAAGTTATTCAAATCGAAACTTTTATATTGAAAAATGAGCGATTATTTAGTTTGTATATAGAAAGATTTGTATTATGAATTTACACTTTTGCATAATCCGCTTTAAGGGTGTTTATTTAATAAGTGGATTTATTTTAAGAACAAAGGCAATTATAAATAATAATAAAAACAAAATGCAGATATAACTACTTTTTACGAAATAAACTGATTGGAATATAAATTTACTATCCTACAAACTAAAAGTTCTATTTGTATAATGTTAAAATTAATTTGTTAAATAATTTTATGTGATTTTTAAATTTGATGAGTCAGAAAATATTATAAGTATCCTCAATATGTCATTTTATTTTTTATTTTTTTTGAAATAAAAATTAACTTAATGTTTATTTTATATTTGGGTAAACATTCCTTTTTTTAAATTAGAAAAAATGGTTCATTTAAAATTGCAAAAAATAGAATTGAATCTATGATTTTATTTTTCAATTTTCTGTAGGAGATTTGTATCCAACATCATAAGTTGTCTTTTTCAACGATAAAATGAGAAAGAGATCACACATCTTGTTGTTCTTAACGACAATGTTGGTAGAAAAAACAACAACTAAGAAACGTTGTTTTTCTAGACAACAAAACAAGTAGAAAGAAGAAATGTATAGAAAAAAGAAATGGGTAGAAAAGAAAAATATGAGTAGAAAGAAATGGGTATAAATAAGTAATAGGAAGAGTCTTGACAAGAGTCTGAGGAAGATTTTTGTCTGATATTTTGCTAATATGATTGGTGAACTGATATGAGGGGTTTTATTTTGCTAATATGATTGGTGAACTGATATGAGGGGTTTTATTTTGCTAATATGATTGGTGAACTGATATGAGGGGTTTTATTTTGCTAATATGATTGGTGAACTGATATGAGGGGTTTTATTTTGCTAATATGATTGGTGAACTGATATGAGGGGTTTTATTTTGCTAATATGATTGGTGAACTGATATGAGGAGTTTTATTTTGCTAATATGATTGGTGAACTGATATGAGGGGTTTTATTTTGCTAATATGATTGGTGAACTGATATGAGGGGTTTTATTTTGCTAATATGATTGGTGAACTGATATGAGGGGTTTTATTTTGCTAATATGATTGGTGAACTGATATGAGGGGTTTTATTTGCGGCCACAAATTAGCCGCAAATAAAAAATTGAAACATTGTCGGAAGTAATTAACTACGCAAAAAGTTAGTTTTTTTTTCAGTTATTAGTAAAAAAATTTTTTACTAATAACTAAACGTTTTGTAACATTTAGAGTAATTTGTAGTGTTTGGTAAACATATATTCAATACTTTGTATTAAATACATGTTAACCAAATTAACTTATTTCAAAATTTGATGTTTATGCTAAAGTAAATACTTGGACTTGTTACTTCTCATTTCTCAACAAGTTTCTTCCAAAATAGCAAAATTAGATACGACACGAGAAAACGGAAACTTTAGCTTACCATTTAAAAAAACAAATCTCTCTCAATTTTCTATAAAATACCGTGATCCTTAATATCTTAAAATACAAATTTGAAAAAATACAGTAGGGGAAAGTCGTGTAGCCCCGGACGGCGGGTAACTCCAGACACTTGATGTACAGTCTAAAACAAAGAAGCTATGTGACTTTAAATACTTTAACAACATTACATGAGTGAAAATATGGCATATGCAAAATATATATCATAATATGTCAAAGCGATTGGCAGGGAGTGCTAGATATTGTTTCCCAGAAAGTGAGGTACCATCATATTTGATTCACATATTAATATATCTAGTTTTTATATTAACTAACAACTTTTTATTGATTAAAGATTTTTATTTACAATATTTAATTTTAAAAAATCGTTAAAAACTTTAACTCACTGGTTTTAAAACTAGTATTTGTGAATGAGGTATGATTAGGTGGTATCAGACACATGTTTAGAGGGTGGTTCCGAACAACTTAATCCATTTACATATTAAAAAGGAGCACCTTTTTTATATAAATATGAATACATTAATATTTATAATGTATTATATATAAAAAAGCTCATTTTTTAATAAAAGACCTAAGATTTAAAAAAAGTGTTTTTAAAGTGTTTATTTCCATTAGTAAAAAGCTTATGTTTGTACTTTTAAACAATGACGTTTTCATTCCCATTCCTCATCAGAGGCAATTTTTAAGGCGATTTTTTTTAAAATGTGTTCAGAACATTCCAATGATAATTAGTTATGTATTATATTTATATCACACAGGTAAAAAAGAGGTAAAATCATGGTTAAACTATGTTGCCTACTCTCCAATTTTGAAACATTCCTTTTTTCTAACACTTTTTTCTTTTATGCTTTGTATATTTTTTATAATTCAATAGATAAATGTTTATACTTTTAAAAGTCTTTCAACACTTTGTTTTCTGTTAGTACATGTGTACAATCTTTTTTTTCCTTAAGTGTTCGGGGCTACCCAACTTTCCCCTAACTTGAACTTTCAAAAATTATTATTAAAAATTTCATCTTGAACATAAAAAAATTTATTAATTTTTATTATTTCCAAAAATAAAAAGTAACTAGTTCTTGAAAATAGCTTTAACCATAATTAATGATATCTCCAAAGATCTTCTATAAATACAATTCAAATTTATATCAATAAATACAAATCACCCACAAATACAAAACAAAACAAAAAAAAATCAAACACAAACTGACAATCAAACACAAATCAAACACAAAACAAAAAACAAAAAAAAAAAATTGCTAGTAATAACTAATAATTTATTTATACGTTCATGAACGACTATTAAAAAGCATGTATTAAAAATGAGGACGTTCAGACAAAGTCTGATTATCCGATATGCAAGTTGAGTCCGTTCAGCCTCAGAGAAACAAGAAAATTAGTGCCTCATTGTATCAGAGTTACTAAGACGTTTACGCAAATGTGGACAGATGTCTAGAAGATGCAAAGCTACCGAAAAATATATTTTAAATTTCAACTTTAATGTGAGAGTAATGTCGATTTAAAGCGCCATTTTTACTTATAGCCTAACTATGTTTAGAGCCTAAAAATTATGACTATTAAAGTGTATGTTGTTTTTAAATTTATTATAAGTATTAAGGATACATTATAAAAATTAGAACGCATATTTACAATTGGGATGTATATTTACAGTTTGGGTGTCATAGGGGATCTCACTCATGTCTTTTAGCAGACTTTCCAAGAGTTCCTCAAACTTTTTTTTTTCCTCCTTCTTCTTTTTTTCGTTGTTTCTCTTTTTTTCATTTTTCAGTTTATAAAAATTTTCTAAAAAGATGATCCACCCGGTTATCTCCTCTAGCTTAAGTCAGTGTAGAGTCTTTTGTTTTCTTTAATATGGACCATCCGATCGTGGATTGGGTAGTCTTTCACCTAACAATAAGTTTTTAGCATTAGATATTAGATTTTTAATTTCAATTTAGTAAGGTTATTATTGCTCGCGATCAGACACCTCAATTTTTGAGTAGTGCTCTTGGCGCATTAGTGCAGATCGAGATTTTGTGCAGGTAAAAAATATATGATAAAAATATGATTTCTTTTATTTTTAATTTTTCAATTTTGTAAAAATAAAGTTACTTAAAAATAATGTTTACAAAAATTGCCTTTGCATGTTTGCGTTTGCTAGCTCCATTAGTATATTGACCATTGTGTCATTGTTTATTGTTTCTCTGCTAGCGTTTTTAAATCTGGTGGATATTAGATGGTCTCTTATAGATTTTTTGTTTGTAAATACTTTTTTCTGTTTTTTAAGAAAGACTTTTTTTAGGTCCACGTCATTTTCGATGACTCTCCAATGTTTGAGTATCATTTCACCCAATTCCGTTCCTGTTTTGTCGTTCGGCATGACAATTGGTATAAAGTTGTTGCTGGTGTAGTCTTTTGTTGCGGTTTCCTCTGTATTGTTTTTGTCTCTTTTTGATAGTATTTCTCTTGTGTTTTTTTAAGGGACGATTTTTTGTAGTTGATTGTATTTAGAGGGTATCCTTTAATAAATAGATTTTTTAACAAGCTTTTCAGTTCGTCCAACAGGTCAGTGTTGCTGCTGACTAGCCTGTTTAATCTAAGTGTTTGTCCGTAAATGACACACAAACCACACAAGTGAAAACCTGGATGCAAATTTTGCATCCAGGTTTTCATTTTTTGATAACTGAAACTGTAAAATATAACTACTTATTTATAGTATAAATTCTAAAAAAAAAAAATGTTTTTTAGGCATAAAAATTGAAATTTATATAATCCAAGCACATAAATTAATACCTACTTGGTAAATAATCAGGAAATTCTTTTTATTTGTTTTCTTTTTTGTAAATCAACATTCTAATTATCACATTTTTCTTTTTTAGTCGTAAATTCATAATTTTTACAACACTGTTTGCTTTCTGTGGAATAAAAATAGTTATACGAATAGTTTTATATTTTGTATCAACAAAATAACTCTTCTTACCACATTATAAAAAAAATAATAATTGTAATATATAGATGTAATACCTGAAGAGAATTCAGTTTTTATTTGTAGAAACTTAAGCCAATTTTTCTCTGCATGTTAGTGCAGTCAATGCTTTGGTACCTGAAAGCCAACGAACAGTTTTATCACAAATCCAATTAGATGGAATTACTTTTTCTTGTAAATCTTTATTCCAAGTAGCTCCTTTCCACGTATTTGATTTTGAAATTATTACATGAGCTATCAATAAAATGAAGAAATTGTAATATAAGTGTACTAACAGGCCTAATTAAACTAGCTAAATTTGAACATTTTATAACCATGATACTTGCTAAACAATAGTATTAGTAAACATTATTAGCAAAGATAATTTTTTTTTTTTTTTTATAAAATTATTATATTTTAAATTCGTTTTTAATAATATATTTATTACTCTATTATTCAGCAGAATTTTTGGCTCTAATTTTTCAAAAAAAATTTAAAACTAAAAGTAAACAATAATTTTAACTATAAATATCTATATAAACGACACAATATATTTTAAAAAAATTAAAATTCTTTTTTTGTATGTATGTCAGAATTAGGAGGAACAAGGTCAATACTCTTAGAGGTCGGCATTAGTTTGGCAAAAAAAATAAATGACATAAAGGAGTTACATATACATATATATATATATATATATATATATATATATATATATATATATATATATATATATATATATATATATATATATATATATATATATATATATATATATATATATATATATATATATATATATATATATATATATATATATATATATATATATATATATATATATATATATATATATATATATATATATATA